CTTTGTAGTTTTCCTTTTTCATTGTGGAACTGTTTTCCTTTATCCCCAGTCTCACCCTTTTCATAGCCCCTGGGAAAGCTCAACTGGGTGGTGCTAATAAAGAAAATGGCTCCATATAGCTGGCTGAATAATACTCATTTGTAAACCAGATCATGTCATTACTCTGCTTAAAACCTTCAAAGGCTTATCATACTTAGAATGAAACCTAAGATCTTTACTGTGGCTTAGGAGGCCCTGCAGGGTGACCTCAGTTGACCTCTGCAGGCCTCATCTAACAGACTCCCTCTTGTCACCACTTTCAAGCCCTGCTGGCTTGTCTTTCAGCACAAGCTTATTCCTGCCGCAGGGCTTTGCACTTGCTGTTCCCTCTATCTGGAATCTGCTTCCTTCAGATAATTGTATGGTTGTCTCATTCTCATCATTTATGGTTCAACTCAAATGTCCCTCTCAAGCCTTCCTGGACCACCCTAGTAAAAGTAGCTCTTCCTTAATAACATCACCCTGCTTTATTATCTCAGGATCTGTACTTAACGGTGGTTTTGAGTTGTGCTTGTTAGCGTTCGTCATCCCTTAATAGATTAAAAACTGGCTATGGACAGAGATCTTAACCTGCCTCACATTGACCTCCTAATGTATTTTTGGAGATTAGGATAGGGCCTCACACAAAATCTTCAGTAGATTTTTTTTAAAAAGAATAAATCCATATAAAAGGCTTAGCATAATAGCTGGAATGTGAAAAACAATAAACATGAGCTGTTAGTACTACATAGTAATAAGTAGTTAAGTCTTCATTCTTATGTAATATTTCAGGTGCACACACTTGAAAAACCATAAGAAGTGCTCAAACAAAATACACTTTTACTCATTGCCCAGATTAAGAAGTAAAAATTAGGCATGCAATTGAAAGGCACCCTGCCTCAAACCTACTCCTTTCCCTCCAATGTAACTACAACCCTAGATTTGGTGTTTATTTTTCTGTGCATGTTGTATATCTTTATGTGCATGTGTCTTTAAACAATATATAGTATTGTATATCATGTTCTATAATCTATATACATAAAAGCCTAAGTGACCATTACGACCAGTTGACTGGTTGCTATGATGTGCACTGACCACCAGGGAGCAGACGCTCAATGCAGGAGCTGCCCCCTGATGGTCAATGCACTCCCACAGCCAACCTCCCACGGCCAGTCAACCTCCATGGTCCCTCCCCCTGGCCGGCTGGCCCCAGTCGGCTCTGTTTGGGACTGGGTGAGGGGCCCCAGTTGGCTCCAATCACTGGCCAGGCCAAGGACCCTGTCTGTGCACAAATTCGTGCACCAAGCCTCTAGTTTTATATAAATGATATAAGTGCAAAAAAGAGTTAACCTGTCCAGCTGGTGTAGCTCAGTGGTTGAGGGTTGACCTATGAACCAGGAGGTCATGGTTTGATTCCTTGTTGGGGCACATTCCTAGGTTGTGGACTCAATCCCCAGTAGGGGGTGTGCAGGAGGCAGCTGATCCATGAATCTCTCTCATCGTTGATGTTTCTCACTCTCCCTCTCTGAAATCAATAAAAATACATTAAAAAAAAAAGTTAACCTAACAGACCTAACACTACTATTCTTGGAAAGGCCTATTGGCAGTGTTGGTCCTTGGCTGGTGTCTAGGAACTTGGATTTTAGGAGGGTTCCCACTAGTCTATATATATAAAAGCCTAAGCAACCATCCAACCGTTTGACCGTCTGACCAGTAGCTATGACGTGCATTGACCACCAGGGGGCAAACACTCAACGCAGGAGCAGACACCACAGGCATGGAAACATGGAACACACTGATGAAT